GCATGCTCAGATTAGCAGATTTAATTTGAAGGGTGGTCTTGGCTTACATGGTAAACTCCAAAGTGATTTCAAACTAAAATATAAATATATTGGGGGCTTACAACAAAAGTCCCTCTCTCACGTGTGCAGTTGCAATATAACTGTGTAGTAATTAAGAGATTTCCTGGGTTGTAGATTTTGGAAGTGGTGGCGGCAATGATCTAAAGCAGGGACAGTGAAGAAGGTTGGTAAGAAGATGTGGCTGCCAGTTTGAGCTGTGAACTGGGCCTGGGCAATTGCAGGCTCCCCACTCCCTCTCCTGTGCTTGGGATATGCGTGCCCGTTGTCTTATCAGAAGCTGCCCAACGACACCTCCTTGAGGTAGAAACATGGTGAGGAGACTGCCATGGGTGTCCAACCAGGCGCCCGCAGGCTGCATGCGGCCCAGGATGGCTATGAGTGTAGCCCAACACAAAACTGTAAATTTACTTAAAACATTATGAGATTTTTTTGTTTGCATTCGTGTTTGTGTATTTAACGTGTGTTCCAAGACAACACTTCTTCTTCCAGTGTGGCCCAGAGACACCAAAAGGTTGAACACTCTGGTGACTGTGTACGTGACTGACCCCAGTTAAGGTTTCTGTATAAACTTTTAAGATCCTGGCGGGCAGGTGCGGAAAGCCACTCATCTTGTGGCTGCCAAACCTGCCACCTACCAGCCTGCCCTTTTCTTCCATCTCTCCGTGATCTCCACCTGTGGGGGCGGGTTTCAGGTTATACCTGGGAAGCTCCTGGCTGGGTTTGCAACCTAACAAGATACTGCCCAGCTTTTTCTGTAAAAGGCCAAATAGTAATTATTTTTGGCTTCGTGGGCCATGAAGCAAAATGGAGGATATTATATAGGTACATGGATAACCATTTAGAAATGTAAAAGCCATTCTTAGATTCTAGACAGTTAAAAAATAGCCACCCTGACAGGTTTGGCAACCCCTGGTCTAAAGTATAGTTTTGAAGCCTAATTGCTCTGTCATTTTAGGATTTATGAGCCTAAGATCCTTTCTGAGTCTCAGTTTCCTTATCTGTAAACTGGAGATTATTCCCATTCTGCCTAAGTTATATGGGGATCCTGTGAGAGGGTACATTTCACAGCACCCAGTGTATTCCACCTCTGGGAATGTATCCGAAACACTCATTTGGAATATACGGACCCCTATGTTTATTGCAGCACTATTTACAATAGCCAGGATTTGGAAGCAGCCCAAGTGCCCATCAGTGGGTGAGTGGATAAAAAAAGCTGTGGTACATTTACAAAATGGAATAATCCTTGGCCGTAAAAAAGAAGGAAACCTTACCTTTTGTGACAGCATGGATGGACATTGAGGGTATTATGCTAAGTGAAATAAGCCAGTCAGAAAAAAACAAGTACCATATGATTTTACTTATATGTGGAAACTAATGAATAAAGCAAACTAACAAATAAAATAGAAACAGACTCAGAGATACAGAGAACAGTCTGACAGCTTTAAGTCCACGTGCTCTATCTTCATAGGTATATGACCTTGGGTGAGTTTCAGGATCTCTCTTTTTATTCGCTGAGGTGTCATTTATACGAGCTGTGATTGATGGAACATGTCACATGTCAGAAGTGGTTTGCAATGTTTCTTGGTGTGATAAAGAAATGGAGCCATTCTAAGATTTTGGTTAAAGCCAAGAACCTTATGAGTAAACTTATTAGGAGTCATTTATTGAATGCTGGTAAGCTTAGAAACTTATCTGCAACAAATGTTACAGAGAGTTTATATCTCTAATTTTAATGCACTTAATCAATGATAAACTTTGCCCAAATTAAGCTAAGATTTGTACTTTTTTCTCTATCAAATTGTCTGCACAAACTGGTATGCAATCCTGGTGAGATGATCCTTTGCTACTGGTGAGTGTATAAATTGGTACAAAGTTTCTTAAAAATTCATAAAAAGTATAAAGAACCTTAAAAGGTTAATGCCCTTTACCCTACAGTTTGTCTCTAAGGAAACTTTCTTCGTGAAAAAGAATTACATGCCAAATGGGTCCACATGAAATAATAGGTTATTTCAGAAGTTTTTATATTTGTAAGAATATTTGGAAACAAATAACTTAAAAGAATAATTAAATTAGGTGTGACCTCTCCATAGCTTCAATATTATATTGTTAAAAATAAGAATACAAGCTGTTCATGCCATATTATCCCCATTCTTGTAACTTGTAGAAGTATTTATTTACTTAAAAGAACTGTGTCGAATAGTACCAATAGGTATTTGTGGATTATGAGGTTACATGCCATTTTTATTTTCTTTATAACGAATATGCCTTATTTCTATAATTATAAAATTCACGTCATTTTTAAAAGACAAAATAAAAACGTGAATGTGTTTACTGAGATCCTTCTCGTATAGGAGGAAATAATGGGTGAAAAGTGCTTTGACCCAAGAAGCTGGGTGGGGCCGCTCAGCTCTCGGAAGGAACTTGCGGTCGAGAGACTAGGAAAGGTGTTACCGCGCGTTCTGTTCCTGCGGAGTCTGGCCTTTCTCAGCTCCACCGCCACGCAGGGAGTGTTCAGAGGAAGTTGCCACAATAGTTCATTCTTCTGTGTTCACGTAAATCACATTGGTCTATTTTCCTCTTCCTAGCGGGCTCCTGTTTTCTTTTCTGTGATATGCATAGGACCGAGGTCACTCGGGCTGTGATTACGTTCAGGAGGGAAAGGGGCCAGTGTAAGGAAACAGTTTGTCTAATGTATCCAGAGAGCCGAAGCTGACTCTTGTAAGGGTGGGGAGATCGTCATCTCAAGACATAATTGCTCCTCTTGCTCAGTAGGTGCAGAAAGTGGGGCCCCAGGATCCCTGAACCGGGAGTTAATTGTCTCTCTTCCAAAGGTGGTTAAAACGCGTGGGTGTGAATGCGTGGTATGCATGAACCAGCACTGTCTTTGCACATGTGAGCGCGAGGGCTGGGGGCAGGAAGGAGAGGTTTCTCCCGAGGCCTGTCCTTCCTCAGGGACCTCCGTGCCACAGCACGTATGGGGTTCAGATCTACCGGGTAGTCATCTAATGGCTGGAAACCTCTGGTATGAAGCCACAAACTTTTAGAGCTGGAAAATCCTTGTGCATTCAGTTTCAATTTTACTTCCCACTTCTTGCCAGGTATTTTCACAAACATCTGCGATGCCTAAACTGGGGAATATTTATGCCTGGGTTATGCCCCCTGAGCCCGGAGACCCTCGAAGCCTCGTGACATCTAGAGGATTCACCGTGTTGGCCTCCTTGACTTCACGTGCATTTCTTGCACGGTGTTGAAGAGGACGGCTTCACTGAGGCACGATTACCCAGGAACACTGCTGGCAGGAGGAAGTCGAGTCCCTCTGAAGGCTTTCTGTTTGTTTCCTCTTGCACTGAAATTTAAGAGCCATTGGTTTAACCTTAAGGATAGAGCCTTCAGGCAAGGCAAAGGTCAGGAACTTGATGTTGTCTTTGTACAGAGAGTGGCTGACTCCAGCCCAACACCCTCGCCGACGAGGGTGGTGGTACTTTGGAATCTAAAAATATTTTTTTTCTCAGTAAAAGGGACTACTATGATCTGAAACTGATGTTTCTTCTCCTTTTTAGTCCTTTAGGCCCAAGTCCCTTATATAAAACAGAAGCAGCCATTGCAAAATTCTGGCATTGGTAAATTGGAATTGGTAAAACAATGTGTTGCGTTTCATTATGCCCTGTGGGTGTCCAAAATAGTTCCCTGTTCCCTGAAGGCTCGCTGCCTTTGTGCGCCCCCACTGGGATGTTTCATAACCATCTCAAAATCAAAGGTAGAGCTCTTGATTATCACAAGGCCAGAAATTACCTCTTCCCTGTTTTTTTTTCCTTTTTTAAAGATTTTATTTATTTATTTTTAGAGAGGGAAGGAAGGGAGAAAGAGAGAGAGAGAGAGAAACATCAGTGTGCAGTTGCTGGGGTCCGAGGCCTGCAACCCAGGCATGTGCCCTGACTGGGAATCGAACCTGCGATGGTTTGGTTCGCAGCCTGAGCTCAATCCACTGAGCTATGCCAGCCAGGGCTGTTTTGTTTTTTTTTTCCCTTAGAAAAAGGAACTCATTTGCCCCGCTATTCAAGCAAAGCTTCTAAGAGTTATCCTCAGTTCTGTGCTTTCTCTTTCCCCACAGCCGATCTGTCCCCAAAACAATTGCTGTTGGCGTTACTTGCAAACTATTTCCCTAAATCATCGACTTCTCTCCATCACTGCTGCCACCACCCCATTCAGATCACTGTCTTCTCCTTTCTGGACCATTGCCCTGTCTTCTAAACCATCTTCTTGCTTTCTCGTGATCAGTTTTTTTCTACCAAGCAGCAAAAAAATCATCCTTTTAAAGTAATACCCTATTTAAAGTCATTTATTGTTTTATTTATTTATTTTTTTTAATAGCAGTTAGAACAAAATATTTAACCCTTAAACTGGTTTACAAATCCCTTTGGTGCCCAGCGCCACCCCTTCCGGGACCACAGCTCCTCCCATTCGCCCCCAGCTACACTCCCTGGCGATCTGTTCCTGGAGCAGCCAGTCTGTCAACCCCAGGGCCTGCCCCTGCTGGGCATGGTCTTCTGGCATCTTCCCCTGAGTGGCTCCTTCTCAGATTTTGGACAGGAGGTTCCGATAAACAGTATCCCTCTCAGAGACCTTTTCCGATTTAGCACCCTTCTTTTCCAAATCAAGCCCCATTTATCACGCAACCCTTCTTGTATCCTATTTGCAGTAGCTGGGTACTGTTTACAGCAACCCACCCCCCCCCCCCATGCCCCAGCCGAATGTGAGGCCCAGGAGAGCAGGGCCTCCTCTGCTTTTTCATCATCGTGTCACCAAGACTGCAGGAAGGTGGTCCCTGCATGGTGGTGTGGCAAGAACCCCATCCTCGACTGTCCATCATGGGCTGTGCAGTCCTGCTGTCTCTCGACATGGGAATCAATAGGTTGTTTCTGCCTGTTCTGTTTTCATAGCAAACTGGACTCTATGAGTACAAAGTCTTTGGTGTTCTGGAGGGTTGCCCACCGGCTGTGATCACAGATGTCTATATGGACTTGGACTACAGAAAACAGTGGGACCAATATGTCAAAGGTGAGTATCACCTACTGTTTTTTTAAAAAAATCAATTAGAAAGTAGAATCTGTTGTTACTTATTTTATCTGGTATAAAGCAGCAGGTTTAATTTCTACTCTGTTACGTTTCACTTTTAATTTTGAAATAAAAGTCTTAAGTGCCAGGCTGAACTGTGCCTTCGCCACTCTGAGGACTTGCCCCTTGCCTGCTCTTAGATCCAGTCTCGTTTTCTCTGAGGGCTGCTTTGTTCTCCCTGTAAGTCGGTTGCCATCTGGATGCCTATGTATCATGGAAGGCTTCTTGGAAGAGGTGGTGTTTTTGGAAATTGAATAAAAATTTTATAAACAACAAGAATACTCTGTGGGTGGAGGGGAGGTTAAGGGGCGGGGGTGAGTGGTGTAAAGGCGTTTCAGGCACAGAAAACAGCGGGGGGGCGGGGGGAGGTCAGGAAAGCATGAAACAGTATGATATTTACAAATCACGAGCAATTTGGCACTGGGGTGGGAAAAGGGTTTGTATCCCTAAGGGCCTAGCCTGGCTGCCAGTCTGCAGTGCTTAGATCTCACCCTGTGAGTGGTGATAGGGAGCTATAAAAGGCAGTGAACAGGGGTTCTCCTGGGGCCAGCCCTGGGAGTGACCTCTGCCCCCTCAGTCGCAGTGGAATAGAACTATGGAGTTGCCAAGGGGCACGTGAACTCTGAAAGACCCTTCCTGCAGCCGGGACTCTTGGATGCAAGTAACAAAAAGCCAACTAATGCCAGCGTAAGAAAAGGAAAAAGAAAAGAGTTTATGGGTCCTTGGCATTGAAAACTCTGTGGTGTCCTGGCTTCCAGGAGAGCCCCAACCAATATTTAAATGATTCCTCCATCTTTTGGAGCGGGCTGCCTCTGTTTTCTCCTGCGTGGACGGGATCCTCAGGCAGATTCCTATGTCGTAGCGAAGATGGCCACCAGAAGATCCAGGCTTACAAATAACCAAATAAATAACCCCAGAGGAACAGGAACAAGAATTCTACTTTCCTACTGATGGTGGCCTCGGCATGGATCACGTGCTTATTTCCTGTGGACATTTGTCATGGTCTGGGGCCACTTACTGTTTTTGCATATGCTTGCTATCTAGGGGGAATTGTGATGCTCACTTATCCAAGGGAGAAACCAAGTTTTCTCTGTCCCAGTCTCCCCAGCAGCCACGGCTCAGTCACGTGACATGGAAGTTGCCAATAAGACACACATGTGGCTTCAGTCTGGAAAGAGCCACCTGAGGAAGCAGGCAGCCTGTGTCTGGTGATGGTCCCAGCGAAGACATCCTGACTTTGGGAGAGACGGTTGCAGAGCTCCTGCCCTCTGTTACTCGGCATCAGTGATTCACACTGTGGTGTCTGGTGCACTGGGCCGGCTTCTCTGGAACGGCCTGAGGCTCTGGACAGAACTCTCATCCTTCTGGATATTCTGTGAGCTACCCAAGAGCCTTCCCTGGGCCGCTTTTCAGCCTAAACTGCTCAAGGGACCAGCGAAGACCCCGGCCAGAGGCACCACCCCTGAACTAATCTCCATGGCCATGTCTTCTTAGAGCTCATTTTCCCAGCCCTGGGTTTAATGCTGAGCCGGCTCCACTTCGCCCACAGAGTCAAGAAGGAGGGGAAGGAGACTTGAGATGCTGGTCCAGGAAGAGGGAGTCAGTGCTGAGCACAGAAGAGCAGCAGGTGTCCACACCTTCCCTTCCTTTCGCTGGCTGTCTGCAGCCTGTGCAGCACCAACAGACCACCAAGCCCTTTAGCAGGTTTCCTTGCAAAATCTGAATTAAATAATCCATTTTCCCTGTCAGCATCTCCAGGGGATCTCTGGTTACTTCAGCAGCTTTGGCTTGGCCACTTCCCCAAATGGCCCGGGAGAGGCTCACTGTGCAGCGTGGGGTCAGAGGGTGTGCACGTCATGGAACGCCTTTGCTGCCTTCCTCCAAGACCGGGCTGCTGTTTGCACACAGCAGCATGGTGGAACAGTAAGGGGATGTGGTCGCTGCAGCTGTGGCATAGTGTAAACACAGGAGAGGAGCAAGACGTCGGGTGAACCACAGCTGTCCTACTCTCTCGCAGTTTAGGAGGGACACTGCCTTCTCTGGGACCTTTCTGTCCCAGCTCCACACATGACTGGGTGACTCAGGCCTGAGCACGCTGTCTGGTCCAAAAATCTGAGGACGGAGAAGAAAGGTCTTCAGAGCAAAACTGTTGGTACTCTAGTGACATCTGGTGGTTCTCCGGATTTTCAATCCTGACCGTTGATGTTCGGTGCCTGACTGTGTTTCATTGCATCCTGTCTGGGAATCTTGTTTTCGCTCTGAGGTAGACAAGTCTCGTTGGGTTCTTTTATTTGGACTCTGCTTTTGTATCTCACAGACTGTGCCCCTAGGCCACCAGCTTTCAGTGGTAATGGACTGGCCTGAGTTTTTGTAGAATGCATTAACTTTCTTTTGTTCTCCTCAGAACTCTATGAAAAGGAGTGCGGCGGCCAGACCGTGGTCTACTGGGAGGTCAAGTACCCTTTCCCCATGTCCAACAGGGACGTATCCTTTCCCGGGGTGCACCGTAGCTCGGCTTTCTCAGTGTCGCTGTGCCCCGTGGCCGTCGCCCAATGGTGGTGTGGCCAGCAGGTGTGAGCTACACTGTCTTTGATTCTCGCAGAAGCCTCTGCTAAACCTGCTGCTGCTTGTGCAGCGTCTGGAGACCTCAGGGTGGGTTCCTGGGCTGGACCACGTGCACAGTCTGTGCCTGAGGTCCTGGGAGGGCAGCTCCGACTTTCCTGAGACGTTTTCTAGGGCTCGGAATCATCGGGCCGCAGAATTGGGGACGTGGAAGGAACTTTTTGTGAAGAGCCTTTAACACGCTCCCTCAGTGTACAGAGAATTGAAATGACAGAGGCGTCCATCCAGGCTATCGGGGGCAGAAGGGGGACTGGAACGCGGGCCCTCACCATTCCGCTCACCCCTCCTGAAGTTTCACTGACACCACAGCCAGCGGTCCCTCTGGCACTGTGGGCCCCGGACACCGTGTGTATGTTGCTCCCCCTGAATGTCCTTATTTATCTTATGCTGAGATTGGATGAACTGTGGGGAGTTTCAGCTGCCACTCCAAGGTTCTAAGAAGCCCACGTAGGACCAGCCCGGGAGAGCGGGATGGAAATGTGCTGGGTGGGCGGTGTGGGGGCAGGGTGACTGATAGGCAGGTTTTCCCTTCTGTCATGGCAGCTGAGCGGTTTACATGCTGAATTTCCACTTAAGACCCTTTTAGCAAAGGGGCTCATGGATTAAAAAATAAATTTTGAAAACCAGTGAATCAGGTGATCGCTGGGGTCTTTTCTAGCTCTAATACTCTGCAAGTCTCTGTGCTCCTAAAAATAATGATTCTCTAAGAAGAGAGGGGGCGAGGGACTGTGCTTTGTGCATGCTGTCTGTGTGTGTTTCTGTGTCTGGCCTTGCGTGTCTGCCATGGCCCCCAGCTAGATTTTAAACGACATCAGGGTTTTTGTCTTGGTGCAGTTCCCGCATACTGCTAGGTGGTTTATGTACCCATGGCATGTATTTGAACAGATTGTGGATTACTTATTCCCTCAGCTTTTATACAGTTGTCTCTAACCAACAATGGTGCCAGGTAGACACCATCATCCCCATTTCACAGTTAGGGAAACTGAGGCAAAGAGAAGTCCAGAACTTGACTCAGGCTCATGCAGCTAGTGGGTGGAAAAGGCAAGCTAGGGACCAGGTCCGGCTGTCCCCAGAGGTGGTGATCTTGGCCAGGCCATGACCCTACCTTTCTGGCCTCACAGGGACACTGCCGGGTAGTTATTCCTAGGAGTGAACACTTGGGGCTCCTTGAACTTTTATTTCATTGGCTTCCTAATGCCATACAATCCCATGGGGTCTTTTCAGTCTTTCTGTGTGTGTATATGTCTCTCCAATAAGGGATGTTACATTTTTGAGAGCAGAGTAGAGTGCCGTGGTAAAGAACGTTCACTGTGGAGAGAAAGATCCCAGGTTGAGTATGTGCCCATTCTCCGGTTTGCCATGTGACCTTGGAAAAGGCCTTGCGTGTGCTTGGGCCTCAGTGACCTGGCGGTTCTCCGGTCATATGTGGCACGCGGGGCCTTCCAGCCTTCCAAAGACCTCTGCCGAGTTTTCATCAAGAGATGCATCAAGTTAAGTTTTCCTCAGTGGAGTGTCAGGTGACGTCAGGTGGCATCACAGGAGCTGAGAAAGTCGTGGGAGAAAGCGGGACAGCATGCGCTGGTATGCGGGAGAGAGGAGATCCAGAGGCAAGCGCAATGTCATTTCTTTCCTAGAACATTTAAGACCTTTACTCCTCATGACTTAGAGGCTGGGGCCATAGACCGCCCTGCAGGGTGCCCGAGTGAGGGGTGGGACGGCTGCGGATGCTCTGGAGACTCTGAGTGACACGGGGCTGTGATCGTGGCTGCTGTACAGTCAGCGCCGCTGTGTTCTGCTTAGAGGGGTTGCTCCCGGTGTTAAACCTAAGATTCTGTCACTTGAGAGTATAAAGGACAAAGTGTTGAGCCCTGCCCACCTATGAAAGTCTAGTTAAGGTTTTGAAGCCAGGTCTGGGCTCAGGTGCAGCTTTCCCCACTTCACCTGGGCTGTGGGACCTTGGGCCAGAGTCTTTGCCTCTCTAATGTAACGCTGTCGTGTGTGAGACGGGGTGCATGCACCCGGGATGCTCCCAGGGGTGGGTCGGGATCCAAATAGATGTTCTAGGTAAAGCTCATGTTTATTACATGGTAAGGGCCCGATAAGTGGTGACTTACCATTTCTTAGGGTTTTCATTATCTTCCCTAGAATAGTGCTGTAGCACAGTGGTTGTGCTGCGAGTGTTTGTTGAGAGGAAATGGCTGTTATTCCTGGGGAGCCGGTGTTCACTCAGCGTGCGCATCGGCCCACTCAGTATTCAGGTATTCGGTGTCTTCCTGCCATCGCCGGTTGTAAGTGACATGGCTTGACTGTCCTCGGAGGTCAGTCATTAGAGCTCTGGGGGCAGTCAGGCCAAGGTGGAATGATGTGGAATGTTAACCGAGTGCTTATTCTGCTCCAGTCTTTCTATAACGTCCCCCACCAAGCCCGCCTGCTGGGCGTGTTACTCTCTTCTTCTGCATCGGGAAACTGAGTCTCAGAGAAGTTGAGTCCGTCAGCCAGGATCCCACAGCTGACAGGTGATCGATCCCCTGCTCTCTCCGAGTGCCTTCTCAGAGAGAGGAGGAGTGGTTTCCGTGCATAATTAAAGGTATCGAGAAATGATTCACAGGCGGGGAATGTGTGCTTTCAAATGATATACCAGGTGGTGTGAGGCATAACCTTGCAGTGCAGGTAAGGAGAGAGGACAGGTGGGGGAAGTAACAGTACAAGCGAGCAAATGCCACGTGGGAGGAACAGAATCCCCCCTCCTGCTTCGCTTCTGGCTGGTGGGGCCCTCCCTCCGCCTGTCTGAAGTGCTGGTGTGGATGTCATGCCTTGACTGGCCCTGCAGTATGTCTACGTCCGGCAGCGGCGAGAGCTGGACGTGGGAGGACGGAAGATCTACGTGGTCCTGGCTCAGAGCATGTCCGTGCCACAGTTTGCCGAGAGGCCGGGTGTGATCCGAGTGAAGGGGTACAAGCAGAGCCTGGCGATTGAGAGCGATGGCAAGAAGGGGAGCAGAGGTAAAGCTGAGGTGCCCGTTGGTGCACCGGCCGCAGCCGCCCGTGGGAAGGCCTTGCGGATTATGAGGCACGTTAAATGCCTGAGGCTTGTTCCCTGAGGTCAGAGAAGGGGACGGGCAGGTCTGCAAAACAAACAAGGGGTGAACACCTGGGGAGAGACTCAGTGTGTCCCAGAAACTTGGCTCGAGGGCGAGGTGGATGTGTAAATCTGACTCACTCCGTCCTTTGCTGACTCCGGGCCAGATGGAGCCAGGACATCAAAGTGAACCGGAGGGCTCAGAGAGGACTGCGCCGATCCTGCCCTGCAGGCTCTTCTGCAGGGCGAGGAGCTGGTTTGGGGAGACACACCCCCTCTCAGCAAAAACCAAGTGACTCGGGGACTGCCGACCTGGAGTTCAGACCACAAGAAGAGCTGAGGCAGAGCGTGGGGCATGTATATGGCCACTTGCCCCACTGGGATGAGGGCAGCCTTGGGTCTGAGGCAGAGTCTGAACCGTAGTTCTGGCGCCTGTTAGATCTGCCTCCTTGACAGGCGGGTGAACTTTTCTCCATCTCCATTTTATCATTTATACACCGGGGTTTAATTTCGCCAACTCCTTATGATTGTTAGGTTAAAGAGGGAGAGAAATGCTGTGTTTTGCTGTGTATGATGTGCACCCACATTTCGAGAGCATTATATATAGGATGATCACACCCATTATTCATGGTGTACACTCATTGTACCCATGTATAATGTACGTCCTTCTTTTTTCCCTCAAAAATTTGGGCAAAAAAGTGTGTTATACACGGCAGAATGTGGTCATGAGATAATATATCCAAGCGTCTAGCACTTGCCGGGTGTTTGATAAATAGCAGGAAAATGTACCTCGGCTATGTTTCCAAAAGCGTTTGTACATAAATGCCCCGGAAGACAAGGCAGAGGACAGGCGTCCGCCAAGTTACAGGTTATCTCCCACCTTTTCTCCTGCGTCTGAACCTGAGGGCGGAAGGTTTGCAGGGTTTGTTGCTGTTCCTTCCTAACATATTTTCTCCTTCCGAATTGTCCTTTCTTTCCCCCTCTAGTTTTCATGTATTACTTCGATAACCCGGGTGGCCAAATTCCGTCCTGGCTCATTAACTGGGCTGCCAAGGTGAGACCCCGGGAGGCAGGAGGGGGAGGTGTGTTTGACAGATGTTGACTGAGCCCGTGGGGCTGTCAGGCCGAAGAGACACAGTGTCTCAAGCCTAATGAGGCTCTTTTATGGAGCAGCTTGGTTGAGTGACCACGGCTAGGGCTGGGGTTGCTAATGACACCCAGGCTGAAGCTGGGACAAAAGACAAAGACTCCTTAGCTGGAATGCCAGCCCCTCCCTGCCTGGACCCCGAGACCCCGCCAGGATCACTCTCTGGAACCTCGGGACAATAGCCTGCTCCTTGTAGGAACAATGGTGCCTTTGGACCCGGTATCTGCTTATGGAGCAGCAGGACAGGCTGGCCCGGCTCCGCAGACAACCAGACGTCTCCGAGCCTGGGCAAAGCCTCCAGTTTTGCTGCTGTTTTGTGTTGTTGGTCTGGAAGGAGAGGGAACCACAGCGCCAGTGCAGATCACTAGAGACCGCCTAGGAGCCTGGCTTCTAGGGGGCTGTTCGGCCTGCTTTATTGAAGTCCTGCTTACTGGCTGGAGGGCTGAACGGGTCCCCTGGGAGAGTGAAAATGCTCCTAGGCTTTGGGTCAAATCCATATGAATTTGAACCCAGGCCCCACACTGATTCTGTAATCTATGGAAGCCATTGAGTTTTTCCCTTTTGAAAAAGGAGATGGGTGTTGCCTACCTCACAGAGTGGGAGCAAATGAGACAATGTTTGGGGAGAGCCCTGCACAACGATCAACACTAACTGAACAATAATATGTCCCACCTTCTGCCCCCCAGATCCTTACCATTCTGTCATTCTGTAAAGCGGGTCCTTTCATTTCTTTGGAAGAATTGAACAACCCAGCCCGTGCCCAAGTCCTGTGTTATCTCAAAATGTCTTAGATTGTCACTAGCAACAGCCATACTATGAGGCATGTCTGGCAACAGTGGCCCCTCTTGTCTGGTCTCACCTGCACTCCGGATCGTACCTTTTGTCAGTGTCTGTGGCGGCATTCGGTTGAAGTCCAGTCTGAGGCCCTGTTGCCTTTTATTCCTCCCAGAGTCCTCTCTGTTTCCCTTAGTTTCATCCCAGAGCATCGGAAGTGACTGCTACAAAGACAAAGAAGTGACCGTCTCCTTTGCTTTGCAGAATGGAGTTCCTAACTTCTTGAAAGACATGGCAAAAGCCTGTCAGGCCTACCTCAAGAAAACCTAAGAAGGAGAATCGGGAACCCTATGCCCACGGACTGGTGTCTTCTTCAGAAGTGCCACAGCCCACGGACATTACCCTCCCTCTCACCTTTCCGCCCTCAGAGGCTGGCACACTCTCCCTCCAGCACGTCGGCCCGGGGTGCACGTGCCTGGCGCCCAGCTTCCTCTCCCACTCTCCCTACTCCGGGGACCCCACTGCCTCCTTTCACTGCTGAATATGGGTCGGATCAGGGAAACTTCTGCTTGTTTGTTTTTCAAAAAGGAAGTCCTCAATAGGGAGCACAATCACGCCACTGTGCCCTCTGAAGGGGATGGGTAGGTGGAGGAGTGGTGACGTAATGTCGGGGAGGAATGACCTCTCCAGGCCAGCTGGCTGCAGCCCTGGATGTGAGTCCCTGCGACTTGGGAGGGGCGGCCGGAAGTGACGTTCCCTCATAGTGACCCTCAGTGTACCAGGCCTGGGAGACTGTGCTGATGTCCATTTGCCTTAAGCTTTGGTGACTTGATTGAGCTGGGATTTGAGGTGATAATCCAGTAAGTCCCTGCCCAGTCCCACTCCTGGAGGATCACAGGCTGTTTTGGTTTCGAAGTATTTTGAAAAAACAAAACAAAACAGTGTAATCCTAACTAAGCACATACTGTGATAACCGCTTTTCCCTCATCGTCTGTGTCTGGGTTCCTCTCCATCCTGCCTGCCACTGGGGGGAGGTTTCTTTAATGTCACTAGCTCTGCATTCTACTGGAAACCGAGGCACCAGGATGGCGCTGGTAGTTTCTGGAAGCCAAGGACACACAGCACTGCGATCAAGTGTCCTTGTATTCAATACGATGACTTTCCCTTCTAGAGTCTCTGGAGATGTTGAAGGGATAATGATCACAGCTGGGGAAATATTACTCAGTGGCTTGGTTGACTCTGCACTTTTTTCTCAGGAATTTTACTGAAGTTGTCCACCTCTTCCACCCCCAAAAGACTTCTAGTTTCCCGTTTTCTCCTGAAGGGCAAGATATTCTGTGACACAGCCTTGATGATCTCAGGGAAAAATCTTAACCACAGTGTGTGACAGTATCAAACCTCGATAAACGGGCATAGAAATTCAGGATGTAAAGCTAGAAGCAAGGGAGTTATTAAAATGGGATACTTCGAACAGTGTATTTTCTCTCTGGGAAGGAAAGTTACTGAATACCAAATAAACACAGAGTGGCTTCTATTTATCGTGTCTGCAGCTTCCTTCCCACCTCATTCTTTTTGTGAGCGTGCAGCAATGTGGTATCTTTTTCACACGTCACATCCAGCCTAACTCATAGACTTGAACAAAGATGAGAATTTTAGGCTCGTGGACCTGCAAGGCCAGGTGAAGAGCGGCCTCAGGTAGGTGTTGATGCAGGTACTGAAATGGACATTAGAACTCAGATCTCTTCTAGTTCAAGTTATTTTTGCTGTTGGGCAGTGTTTGGTGGCAAAGTTGCTGCTAATAGCAAAAGGTAGGCTTGCATCTTCCCAGGCTCATGCTGAGCCAAAAAAAAAAAAAAGGTGAGAGAGAGGGATAGCATTTCTTTCCATGAAACCTACACCATCCCATGATTCTCTCTCAGCCTTGTGTGTATCCCTGCTGCCCCAGTCATCGTTGTATGGATAGAATGATGCAACTAAGTGAATACTTCATCAATTTATCATTAAAATGTTATCATGACTACAACTGGAATTTAATTATAGAGAAACTAAATGAAGTGACTCATGTTAAAAGGGTCAAGTTGAAATTTTATGTATAAAGCCATTGAAACAGAAGCCCTAAGAGTGCAGCCTTTGAGCAGACAGCCAACACTGAATGGTACTGTGCATACCATAATTGTAAACAGTGTTGCGTCATTTGTTAAGAACTCTGAGAATACTAAGAATATGGAGTTTCTGGGTAAGGCAGTTAGAAAAAAAGTCCCAAAGTGTGCCCTAATCGGTAGAGTTTTGACTCCTTGGTATGTATGCTTGCCACTGTGGAGAAGACCGTCCCACACAGCAGCGATTTTCAACCTTTTTCAGCTCATGGCACACATTAACTAATTACTAAAGTTCTGCGGCACACCAAAAAATATATTTTTTTGCTGGTCTGACAAAAAAAATAGGTATAATTTTCATTCGTTCACACCGGACGCCTACTGCTGTGTTGGCTGTTGTCTTTGTTTCATTTGACAATCGAAGGGAAAGGAGGTCAGTGCCCCTGACTAAATAGTCAGCTATTGCATGTTTTAAAAATTCTTGCAGCACACTGCTTGAAAACCACTGCTATAGAGTTGAAATGTGAGATTATGTGGGCAACTGGGAACTCCTGGGCCTGAGGCACAAAAAATGCAGAACTGGTACCTCAGGGATTCACCTGATTCTTCAGGGTGTGCTTCGCATAGGGGCTGGATGGACCATCTGGAATTCGAAAGTCAAAAATACATTGTCATTCCTCTAGGATTTCATTTCACCTCGTTTTCTCATGTCTGTGCCTTCAAATAGACACCAGTATCCTTGTGAATAGAAAGAGTTATTTCGAGTTGGCTATATTGCCTTCTAGGGTAGGACGGAGTAGGCACTCAGTTGGTAGCTAAGTGTGTGAATAAGTGATTTAGAGAAGAATCACCAAATGACACATACCCAGGAGACTGAACCCATCCAACATAAAGGCTTAATTTGATTACATTAAATAATGATTTCGTATTACTTAATAATTTAATTCAAGTCAAATGATTTCCCCCAAAATGTCATTTTGGGTGTTCCAGGTTCGCATGGGTCCTTCCTCTAAAGTGCGAAGGTCCCCTCTTTGTTAAGGGCTGCCTTTGCCGGTGTGTCTGCGGGCTGTACTTTAATGTTTCAGAAAGGGTGCAGTCTGGACCTAGTCCAGCTGAGATTAGCCAGAGGTTTCGGGATTTATAATGAAAAAATATATAGCACTACTGTTGGCGCTCAATTTTTTCCACAGGCGAATTATTCACACTGCATAACAATTCAAAGTTAATGGCCACCTTGGAAGCGAGGAGGCCCAGCAGAGGGTCACTTCCCTTGAAAAAGTGCCTATTTCACAGTGAGAGTCCTGGCCCGGCTCCCTGGCTGAGATTCCTCACCCAGAATCCCCATCGGTAGTGTCTGCTCTTCAGACCTCCTCATTTCCCAGCTGGATTGGGGAGAGACAAAGCAGGAAGAGCCTATTTGGTTCTCAGGTTTCTGGTAGCACGACCCAGTTGGCTCAGAGAATTATCTTTAAAAGCTTTGAGACATGTATGCACTTAACAGCTGTTTCTCCAGAGTCTGGTGTCTGCCTGCCGAGGAGGGGATAGGCAGGGTGGCTCCTGGGGTGAATGAGACAGGCTGGGTGGCTGCCCTCAAGGGGCTTATGGTCTAGTGAAGAAGACACAATGGACGAGCAGTAGGATGGGTGATGAATTTGGAGAAAGGGCGAGTAAAGGGTGCAGGAGGCTGCAAAACCGGAGGCACTAACCAGGTTTGAAGGGTAAGAGAGGGACATGGAGTTGCCTGGGTGCAAGCTGGAGAAGAAAACCCTTTCACAGGGAAGGCACACTTTGCACAGAACCCCACAGGTGGGGACGCAGTTACGTCTGAGGAACTACCAAAGGCCAGTGTGTGCCTGCAGCAATGACATAAAGGAGACGCGTCTCATACGTGGCTGAAGAAGGAGGCGTCCTGGCCGGGTAATTCAGTCGGTTAGAACATCATCGTGATCCGTCAAGGCTGCAGGTTCGAACCTCGATTAGGACACACACAAGACCAACCAATGAGCACATCAATAAGAGGAATGACACATCGATGTGTTTCCCTTCCTCTCTCCAAAATCAATAAAAAGTTAAATAAAACATTACATAAAAGAAATAGGCAGTTAGGTGATGGGAGATCCCAAGAGCTACAGTAAGGATTTTGGACTTTAATCCCAGAACACCCATTAAGCTGCGAAGGACTTTTAAGTTGAGAAATGACCTGATAAGATTTATTCATTCGTAACAGCTGCTCATTTCCCGCCATGGTACTCCATGATCTCTACCCGTCCCTCCAACGTCGTCATGAGGATGCTGTCCACAGCGCATCGAGCCTTTTCGAGAGCTCTTCATAGTCGGGCAGCATGCAGAGTGGACCACACCCAAACCTACTTTCCATAGTGCAGCATCAGCCTCCAAAGTTTAACCAGAGAGAAGGGGGGCAGGGCAGCGCATGCGCACCTCCTCCGTCTCTCCTGGGCCATCTGGCGTGCAGCGTCCCCTCCAGCGTGACTGTACCATGCAGCCCGTCAGAGCAGAGCCCTTCCAGAAGCCAGAAGTGGGAGAGAAAAAGGAAAGACCTAAAAAAATGTAAGCAGGTTCTTTTCTCCAAAGTTTATTTTTCTTCACTTCTCCTCAACTACAGGAAGATTTCTTTTTTTTCTTTTTCTTGAAAAGAGAGAAGCACATTGTTGAGGTTCTCCGAGTTTACAACCAGCAAAACAGGAGGGCTTCAGAAAAGTTACTTATATTGTTCACCTGTATGTATTTTTGTGTGTGACTGCTTAAATATACATAATATGTGCTCTCTTTCGTGCGGTGTAATAATGGAATGACTACCAGTGGTCCCCAACCTTTCAGGCACCAGGGACCGGTTTTGTGGAAGGCAGTTTTTCCACGGATGAAGGGGGTGGGGATGGTTTCAGGCTGATTCCAGTGCATTACATTCAAGCTCACCTCCTGCTGTGTGGCCCAGTTCCTAACAGGGCTGGAGCAGTACCAGTGCTCGGCCTGGAGGCTGGGGACCTCTGGACAAAGAGGCATGTTATGTAAATTGCCATCTAGGTTTTCTACACGCTATACCAGGTGCAGAGCTTGCAGTGGAGTTGATAAAGGTTGGAGGGACTCTTCTATCGGGGAATTAGCAGTCCAGAGAGGACGTGATGCCTAGGTTATGATAATGAGAATGGGATCGGCACCATAGGAGACGAAAACATGCACTATTGTGGGGGTTTGCGGCTAGCTGATGTTAAAGACAAGACAGCAGGCCCGAAATGGAGTTGCTTACGCTAAGCAGTACACACCAAACAAAAGCCTAACTTAATTACGGTTTAGCTTTTAGAGAAATGAAACCTTAAACCAAACACCCAGGCCTCAGGCATCCCCTAGTCAGGTCATCTGCCTGACAGACCCCCTGCCGTCCCCTAATGACAAGTCACCTTGCGGTGACCAACCTGCTTTTTTCTCCTTGTATCTCTGCTCCCTTCTGCCTATGAAAGTCTCTCATTTGTACAGCTCCCTGGAGCGCCTTCCAACCTGTGACATTGGGTGCTGCCTGATTCCAATCGATATTTGCTGAAATAAACTCTTGAAATTGTGACTATGCCTCAGTTTGTCTCTTCAGAGCTCTGGTGTCAGAAGAGGAAACTGGAAGATCGCAACAGCCCCTAGGAGCAACCAGCACCTGCGTAGGCACCTGTGAGCACCCTGAGTCCGCCGCTCTCTCACTGCCTGTCTCTGGAGGTCAAGGGTAAGCCCTTCTCCGGTCCTAGCTCGCAGCGTCTGCATTTGGAGCTTTCACATTTTATAGGAGCAGTTCTTTTTCTGGACTGGATCCAAAAACTGGCAGGAGTCAGACTGGGCCCGGCTTAGAAACTGGACCAGGTCTGGGGTTGCTCTGAGTCCTGCTTCAGCTGCACTGGGGCCCGTGTGAGGCCTCAGGCGAGATAAGTTTTCTTTTATGGCTGAACAAGAGGGCTAACTTTCCAAGACAACCTGGAAGCACAGTGGCTGCAGAGGAGAATGTTTAACCTAAATGAGCTTATCCATTTATGAGGGGCCCTGGAAGAAAAGGCGTCTCAGCCCAGCACTCACCAGAAAGAGCAGATGGAACATTACTTTTCCTCTGCTGCAGACACCCTGCCCCTCCGGAGCCTGCAGACGGAATCCTGCGAAAGTGGCAGGAGCGGGCAAAGGTGAGGATTCTTATCCAGCTAGCTCTCCCATCCCTGACTCTGTGATGCATGGTCCAGAGAGGAAGGTAAGATTTCACCTTTCCCCCTCTTTTCCAAATTTAGATTGGCAGGCAAAAAAACCCAAAAACCATTTGTAAGAATATTACCTTAGAACTGTGGCATGTGCATTTGCTCTCAGGGACCCACTGGCTGTTTCCCCTGTCTCTCTTGGCTCTCAGGGACAGCTCTTGCCTCCTGTGTGTCCCACTCTGTGTCCTGAGAGGCTA